AATGTATATATTGCAATCTCTGTCTCCAACGGCTATATTTTTCACCTCTCTATGTATGTGTGCTCTTCACTTGATTCATGCATTATTTTTTTCATTGTGTTGTTCCTTTTCCACCAGAAATAAAGTTATCTAACTCGATTGCATTCCTCTTCCTCGTCTGATTATTATTATTATTATTATTATTATTATTATTATTATTATTATTATTATTATTATTATTATTATTATTATTATTATTATTATATAGACCTAATCCTAACTATATTACGCTAAGAACACACTCAATAGCAATCTCTCCACGCTTCACAAACGGGTGGATTTGTACCTAGGTGTCATTACATTCATTTGGACTGAGAAAGCGGTCATTGAATGTTTTATGAAAAATCCAGTCTATATCCATATTTTCTTTTTTTATTTGTCGCTCAGGCGCCTTAGCATGGATTGTTCTCTATTTCTTCCTATACTTTGCGGAAAAAGAGATATATGTCATAAGTGGGCAGCTTGGGTTACCATGTTTGCAAAAAAGATTAATGCAGCATTAATGATTAGTCATGGAGGACAAATCATGATGATTAGTCATGAAGGTTTGACAAGGTTTTGTTGAAGTGTTTGGATAAGAATATCTTAGATCTCCAAATGAGAATGACACTGATAGATTACTTGCAATCGGGAAGTGGAGAGGTTTTCCCGCATGCTTAGTACTTTGGATTACATGAATTGGAATTGGAGGAACCATCCTTTAGCATGGCATGGTCAATATACTGGGCATGTGCATGAGCCAAAAGTAATCATTGAAGCTGTTGTTGCTTAAGATATTTGGATTTGACATGTTTTCTTTGGTTTACCAGTCAGGCAATGATACCAATGTTCTTCATTGTTCTTGTCTGTTTGCAAAGCTAGCTGAAGGAGATGTTCGAAAAGTCAATTTTACCGTTAAAGGTAATAGTTATACAATGAGGTATTACCTTTTAGATGGCATATATCCTCAATGGGTGGAGTTCTTCAATCTCATTTTGCCATTGTTCGTGGACTAGTCCCTCTCTCGGATAAAAGACACCAAGAGAAATAATGTCAGTTCATGACGATGTCATCATACACACCATGATTGTTGAAGATGAGCAAAGTCAAGATAAAGATGAATAGTTCGGTGTCAACCAGCTTGTGAGACATACTCTAGGTACAGTTCGTAATCCTACATAGGATTTTCGTGAATTCATACTATCACAAATATCACAAACAGGCAACTCGATCACACACAACCTTTTGAGTTTCACACCAATGTTTCACCAGGTTTAGTTGTTACATTTACGTCCTCGGTGTTTCCTTTTTAATTTAGACTGAAAACAAGTATACAGTATTCGTAATTATGTGCTATGAATGCATGCTTGTATGGAAAATAATTGCCCAGCAAAAAGGACTAGGAATTCTATTCGGAAAGTCTGATTCACATTCCATGCCACCTCTGTCGTGCACACTCGCCTCTGTCAACAACGCACCTCTAACCAAAGTGCCTCTGCTTTGGCAACCACCTGCCAACCTAGCTAGTCTCGCACGCTAATGTACATGCGCAATGGGGGCCGGGAGAGGAGTCTCCTCTGCCACTAAGACACGAATACCAGAAACGTAAAACGGAAATCAGACAGGATGATATTTGCGTCATGGATTCATGTTTCTACTCCAGAAAAGGTCAATGGCCGATCGATGGAGCGACGAATCGGAGTGACGATGACTGGTTGAAAAATGAATGGTACAGACCATCGATAGACAGATTCATCCACTGATGATACATGCGTCTGTGCTTAGTTTACATCGATCTCGTGCAACTACTACACGCCGGCCTACGACTGAAACAAGTAGAGTACAAGAGACCTCGCTCGCCGGAGACGGACGGACGGGTGGATCGATCTGACGACACGCATGCAATGGCGCTGCTCAGCTCGCTCGACCAGCTTAGTTGCCGGGGACGAAGTTGGTGGCGTACGCCCAGGCGTTGTTGGCGACGGGGTCGGCGACGTGGTCGAAGAGGTTCTCGATGGGGCCCTTGCCGGTGACGATGGCCTGCACGAAGAAGCCAAACATGGAGAACATGGCGAGGCGGCCGTTCTTGAGCTCCTTCACCTTGAGCTCCGCCGCGGTGTCCGGGTCATCAGCGAGCCCCAGCGGGTCGAACGCGCCGCCCGGGTACACCTTGTCGAGCCCCTCGCCGAGCGGGCCCCCGCCGACGCGGTAGCCCTCGACGAAGCCCATGAGCACCACCTGGACTGCCCAGATGGCCAGGATGCTCTGCGCGTGCACCAGGTTGGGGTTGCCCAGGTAGTCGAGGCCGCCCTCCGAGAAGATCTGCGCCCCCGCCTTGAACCACACGGCCTCGCCGAACTTGACCCCGTTCTTGGCCAGGATCTCCGGGAACACGCACCCCAGCGCGCCCAGCATCGCCCACCGCGAGTGGATCACCTCCAGCTCACGGTTCCGCGCGAACGTCTCCGGGTCCGCGGAGAGACCCGCCGTGTCCCACCCGTAGTCGCCGGGGAACTCGCCGGTTAGGTATGACGGCGTCTGCTCCGAGAACGGGCCGAGGTACTTGGGACGGTCAGGGCCGTACCTGCATAGCAGGTCATGCATGTCAGTTACTCTCAGCGAGCTGATTTGACACAAGGGAAGAGTGCAGAGCAGAGAGCACGTACCAGATGCTCTGGGGAGCGCTTTGACGGTGCGGCGCATGGTGATGCGGCCGCCAGCATCGGCGCCGGTGGCGGGCGGGAGACCAGGGCCTGCCTGAGGAAGCTGGTGGTCTGGTGAAGCGCCGACGCGGCCATCGTCGTTCTGTGTGTGTGTCCGTCCCGGTGGTGAGAATGTTCGGCTAGCTGAGTGGTGGGAATGGCCGGTGGGGAGGAGATCTTTATACGACGGGTCGACGGCTCAACGGTGCGCGGCGCGACTGGTGGACGCGCGGCGCGCCACGTCCGCACCCAGGCCATTGGCTGCCGCCGCGCCTCTCTGGATATCGCGCGTCGGGGCGCCCAATGGCCGGCTGCCAGGTGGAGGCAAAGATCGCCCCGCCCAAATCCAACGCTATCTAGAGTCTGGACCAAACAGCTCAGGCATCACGGTCGTCGTTGTACTAGCCGTTGTGAAAATGCAGTGACGATGAAGTTCTGAAATATCTGTCGTCCTTTGGCACACACGTAATTATCTTTTCGAGAATTGCACGAAAGCAGAAAAAGATAAAAAAGGGACACTTCATTCACCTTGCACTTGCATCTAGCGGTGAAAACTGAAAAATGAAACTGATCGACTCAGAATGGAGTGGACTTGGAATCTGATATTCCGTGTGCGTCCATGGAACGGGAGGTTGCTTTGTATCTCCTGCCCATACCATAGCCAGTCTCCAACTCTACTTAGGGCAGCTCCAGTCCTAAAACTTTAAACGAGTCTGACTACTGGCAAGGTTAAAATTATATGTAAGCATCAAGGGACCCCCGCCTAGAAGCTCTGATTCGATTTTCAGTAAAATACATTGTGCATTTCTATGTTTTTTTTCTTCATATTTTCATTTGGGTTCATGAACTCTCAAAGCAATCAATCATATGAGTTCTTTGACTTTTTAAGTGGTTGTTCATTCTAAGTTTACTCTAGGTCAAATCATGGACTTGAATTCACATTTCAAATGAATCACTTAGAAATTGAAGAAGCTAGTTGATCACTTTGAGAGTTGACTTAGATAAGAATGTGTGAAAAAATATTAAGGACCCATTTTGTATTTCACTCTTCGATTTTCTACTGCCCACGGTTCGAGCACTCACCTCCTTCGTTTTGATGCCTGCAAGTAAGAACATCCAGCTCAGACCATGGTTAGGTTCTCAAACATACTAGAGCCGCTCTAAGCTGAAGTGGAGTTTCATCGTCTCCCCTTACACTAACCCTAATGAGGAACTCCAATAGTGATATCAATATATGGGTATCAAAATCTCGTATTTTGGGTTTTCTAAGATTAAACCAGATTCTAGGATTTTTAATTGCATTATTTTTCCAATTTTTTCAGAAATACATTTTTATGTTTTCTTGATATTTTTAAAAATATTTCTAGTCAGATTTACCTCATGAGCTTTCAGCTTAGTCCAATTTGGCCACCTCTAACGTGGCGATGCATTAGCAAAATCACCATCAAAACCACTCAATGTGAAAAAAATAAACGGTTTTAAAAGTTGAGGGATGTCAAAAAACTAGTTTGATAGTTTAGGAAGAAAAATTAGACGACCGCGATAACTGAGGGAGGTTAATAGTATTTTTCTCCTAATAAACTTTGCGTTCATACTTGAAATATTTAGGCCTGGCGTAAATATATTTGATATATGTGTGTGTTATAGTAATTAATGAAGATACATGTGCTGCTAAGACAAATATAAATTACCCACGGGCACATGGGTAAGGGTAGTATATGTTTCTATACCCGTACCCACTTACACGATGGGTAGAGATTTTTACTCATTAACTAATGGCGTACCCGCGCGTGAATAAATCTTTTTCCATACCCATCTCTTTCGCGGGTAAACCTATCAAATTTCAGGTACCCATTGTAATCCCTAGCACGAGGCCATATTAGAAGAGCATGATGCACACCAAAGATCTATTAACACCCGTGGCAGGTTAGTAGTAGGTGCTTAAGCAACTCAATAGGAGATCATTTATTGATCCAACATTATTTTCAACTTCAAAATACCCCCTTCATAGGAGAATCAATGCAGGCCGCTGCTCTTCTGTTTGGGCGGCCCGCTTCGCTCCATGGGCTCATTTTAGCAGCGGAGCCCTTTTCAGGCCTATCCAGTATCGACGCCCTTCTTCTAAAACCCTAACTCCTCTCTCCTTGACGCCGCCAAGCCACTGCGGCCGAAGTCGCCCCTCCCGAGCCCCGACCAACTCTCCTCTCCTCTCCTCTCCTCTCCTCTCCACCTCAGGGCCGCCGGCTCCTTCCTTACTCCGCCTCGACAAGCGTCGGCGAGATGGTGAAGAGAAGCAAGAAGAGCAAGAGCAAGCGCGTCACGCTGAAGCAGAAGCACAAGGTGCTGCGCAAGGTGAAAGAGCACCACCGCAAGAAGCGCAAGGAGGCCAAGAAGGAAGGCAAGGCTGGCCAGCGGAAGAAGGTCGAGAAGGACCCCGGGATCCCCAACGAGTGGCCCTTCAAGGAGCAGGAGCTCAAGGCGCTCGAGGCCCGGCGCGCGAAGGCGCTCCAGGAGCTCGAGCTCAAGAAGGAGGCGCGCAAGGAGAGGGTATGTCATGTCTGCCCTGCACCAACCTGACCTTCCCGCCTGCTGCTATAGTTTTTCAGCCTTACAGCCGAATCCACCTTCATTCCGTTAAATTGCAAGCCTAATCCACCTTCCTGTCCCTTCAGTTTCCTTGTGAAACTAGAAAACCCGTGGCGCGGCGTTGCTATCTTTTTATTCTCTTCCTTCTCACGATGCTTTGGTGTCTTGAAGAGCATTACTTTTCTGCTGACTTTGGTTTAGATAGTATAAAACTCTATGCAAGCTAAGATCATGCAACATTAGGGTTATACTGACACCACACAAACTCCATTCTACATGACTGCAACAGACAAGAAATTTTTGGCATGCAATCTACATGGAAGAAACATTGTGAGCAGTTATGTTCATCATGATTGAAATGGAAAGCTTTGCTTCACCAGATAGGATAACATTATTAACGTTAGTAGTATTATTTATGTTACGATGATGTCATTGCATAACAAAAGTAAAATTATGTTCACTGATGTTGTCGAATGACGATCTCAGATCTCGTCACAAGAGTAAAATCGGAGTACAAAACATATAATTGAATCTTGATTGCCAACCAAATGCTAGATGAACTGAAATTTGAGCACGAAAATCATAGCACAATCTAAAATAACTGCCACGGGACTACAATTTCACCCTAATTCTCTGGAAATAAGGATGTATGTGTACATTGCCTAGTGGGCGCCCAGAAAGGAGATAACATGGATGACACCGTTGCCACTCATTGTCACATTTATACAGGGGGCATGTGTCCTGCCCGTCCATACCCGTTTGTGCTGTGATAACGCTTCTGCCAAGCATGGGCGTGCACGCCCATTCCCCTTTAGCCACAGGTCAACCTGCTCATGCAAATCGCAAGTATCCTTGAGGACTTGAGGTGCTGAGAATGCAAATAACAAAGGACGAATCAAGAAAGAAAGTAGTTGATGGAGCAACTCACCCTGTGGATACGCTACCCGCCCGTGGTTTATCCTGCAGATTTGTGTTATAGAGATTAACTCTTTCTTAGATCGTTCCCTATATTGGTAGTGTACATAGTTACCATTTGGTTGATGGCTTGCTATCGTTGGTATCTGCCATGATAGCTTTTGTCCCAACCCTTATTGTCCCTTATTACAACCGAAGGCTTGTTAGAACCAATATTGCTGTATGTATAATTGTGTTCTCTTGCGAAATTCTGGTTATTGATCCAGACAAGCTGGATGATCGTCCTTTATTTGGGTCTTTACACTTTACATTTTAGGCTCACTCTGTCAGGATCATGAACTTTCACATAGACTTGACCGAGCAATGATTAAATATTGTCACCCTTTGTTAGGTTATGTAGATGAAGTATGTGTTCCTTAAGGTCTATTTATGTTCTTCGTTTAGTTTTATAGATACATCTATATCATTTTCGTTGTGGTGGTTAAACAATGAGACACTTACCTTTTTCAGGCTCGGAAGAGGAAGCTTGGATTGCTTGAGGATGAGGACATTGCTAATTTGGCATCTGCAGCTTCCGCGCAGGGCAGTGAGTTTGCAGCAAAGGAGAATGCTCCTTTAGCAGTGGCAAAGAGCAATGGTAAGTTTCTCATCTCTCACTTATGGTTTAAATTGGCCTACCGCATGCAGTTACATTATTGACTAAAGATGTTAAATGTGTCCCAGATCATTCAGAGAGGTCTTTCTACAAGGAGCTTGTTAAAGTAATTGAAGCTTCCGATGTGATTCTTGAGGTTCTTGATGCAAGGGATCCACTAGGCACCCGTTGCATTGACATGGAAAAGATGGTTAGGAAGGCTGATCCAAGTAAACGGATTGTACTACTTCTCAACAAGATAGGTATTATGCAATGTTTGTTATGTTTAAAGTTTGCTCTTATGGTGGTTATGCCATCCTACATCTCAACTTATGATTCTTGAATTCTAGATCTTGTTCCCAAGGAGGCGGTGGAGAAGTGGCTTACATATCTAAGAGAAGAACTGCCAACAGTTGCATTTAAGTGCAATACCCAAGAGCAGAGGACCAAGCTGGGATGGAAATCTTCAAAACTTGATAAAACAAGTAACATCCCACAAAGTAGTGATTGTCTTGGTGCTGATAATCTAATCAGATTGCTCAAGAATTATTCCAGAAGCCATGAGGTAAATGATCCTACCGTTTTCAGATGATGTTTATGCATATATAGTTTTGGTCATCTCTCATCTGTCTCACAAGTTGATTATTGTATGGACATTCTAAGTTAGAATGTTTTATCCTTGTTCTACAACATCATGCATTCTTCATTACTTGACTATATTATAATAATTGAACCTTCAGCTTCTTTTCCTTGCTTATGTGCATATTTCCTTTTATCGAATATGATTAATAGAATCCTTTTATCTTTGAAGGGAGAACAGCTTCCTACACTTTATATATGAACCTAATGACTTCATGCACATAGTTTTACTTTGTGTGCTGTGTCTTATCATGCCAGTTTTATAAGTAGGCCTGTTTTTTCTGTCTTCGGTTATTACCTTCTTATGCTTCAGTGTTACCTTTTTTTTTACTGCTCTTGTAGCCATGTCTGTGTTCATATAGAGTTGCCTTTTTTGTTCTTCCTTTGTTAAGTTTTGTTATTGGTGACTTGCAGCTCAAACTGGCAATTACGGTGGGTATTGTTGGACTTCCTAATGTTGGCAAGAGCAGTCTGATCAACAGCCTGAAGAGGTCCCGAGTGGTTAATGTCGGTTCCACTCCAGGGGTTACTAGATCAATGCAAGAAGTTCAATTAGACAAGAAGGTGAAGTTGTTGGATTGCCCCGGTGTTGTTATGCTCAAATCTTCCAACAGTGGTGTGTCTGTAGCCCTTCGAAACTGCAAAAGAGTTGAGAAAATGGAAGATCCAGTCACTCCTGGTGAGGGCTTCTGTTAGCTCTGTTGAAGTTTTTATTTATTTATTTATTCTAGCTATAGCCTTCTTATTATTTTACTCTTTAGATACTGTACCATTTGACAATAATCTAGTATATAATGTGACCAGAAGTGCAATACTTGACATGTTCTATGCTTCTCTCTGTTTTTGATGTTTGTAGTTAAGGAGGTCCTAAGTATTTGCCCACATGAGAAGTTGTTATCTCTGTACAAGGTTCCAAACTTCAGTTCAGTTGATGATTTCCTTCAGAAAGTAGCAACTGTACGGGGCAAATTGAAAAAGGGTGGTGTAGTGGATGTTGAAGCTGCAGCAAGAATTGTGCTTCATGACTGGAATGAAGGTATGCCTGATAATTTTTGTCATGAACTTTGTAAATTCTTGTGACCAGTGACCTAATCCTCTCTTTTTTAGGTAAAATACCATATTTTACACTGCCACCTAAAAGAGATGCTGGGGAGGACTCAGATGCAGTAATTATAACAGAAAACGGGAAAGAATTTAATATTGATGAAATTTACAAAGCCGAGTCTTCATATATTGGTGGTTTGAAGTCCATTGAGGAGTTCCGTCACATTGAGATTCCTCCTAATGCTCCACCAGGGATTGATGAAGAGATGCTAGAGGTAATAATCTTAAAGTTAGCGTTTTTCCGTGAATTAAGTGGATTTAACATGGTAACCCCTGTAGATTTTATGCCATCTTGCTACCTCTTAGTTATCTGTTTTGTTCCTTGTGATGGCCAGATGCATTGCATTCATTGAAAGTAAATGTTTTTTGTGAGATTGTTTTCGCATGGTCACTGATTCGGTCTCAGCTCTATAGCTTATGTTAGGAGGTTTCATTCGAATCTATTGACCAACAGAATTTATTTAAGATAATCTATGTATAATCCTTTGTAAACAGCATAATGACATCATGATAAAAGAGTAGTGCTTGCACTCTGTCTCTGGTGAAAACTCTTGTAGAAGTCAACCTTAGGTTCTATTTGAACTACATAATTCATATGTAAAAATTTCATACCAATATGCTTTGCTGCAAGCAAAACATGAGTGCATTAGGAACATTGTGCTCGGCCTTGTTATTTAACTCTTGTTTTGCACTAACCAGGATGGCAAGAAACCAAGCGAACCAGTCCAGGAAAGCCGGGAGGAGCAAATGTCTGACGTGAATGACTCAGAAGGAAGCAAGGCAGCCAGCGCTAGCACACAGAACGACAAGTTGTACACTGCCGAGGGCATACTCGATCCTCGCAAGAGGAAAGCAGAGAAGAAACGGCGCAAGGCGAACAAGTTCAGTGTGCTGAACGACATGGATGCGGACTATGATTTCAAGGTGGATTATCATCAGATGGAGGACGCGTCGGCCGCTGATGAGTACGGTGAGAGCAATGGTGCACACGTGGATGATGAAGATGGCGGGGATGAAGCCAAGGATAATGAACCGACGACTGGTGTCGATGATTCGTGAAACATTTTGGCTCCTAGTTGATGGCACAGTAGATGTTATCGGTGATATTATCATGTCGAGTGCCAGAAATGAAATGGCCCAGTGGGGGTTGCAAAATTAACTCACAAAAGTTTTGAGCTTAGTTTGCTTGTTTAATTAAAGATGATACTATGAGAAGGCTTGCGTTTTACCTGTCCCAGCGGTACCTACTTTTACCTGCTCTTAAGTTGCATTCATTGATCATGAATCATGATGCGCTATCGTCGGTTACATTTATTTATCATGATGCGTTATCGAGAAAGGTTACCAAACATGAACATATCAAAATTTATCTACTTAAGAAATTTAGGTGTGGTATCATTTAAACCAATATAAGTCTGTTGAACGTTAGGTAAGTGAAGAAAGTGACAAATTCAATCCATACTTTTGTCGACTTCAGCAAGTAAAGAAAGTGGCATAGAACAACCCGATGGAAGAGAGCAGAGGCACAATTTATGGAGAAAGTGAACAGAAATAGTCATTGTTACCTGTTCAGGACTACTGTGTTCCACGTTTTTCACCTATGTTTCATGTTTTTCACCCAAACAACGTTGCTCCATGAAAAAAAATGGAGTTGTAAGAGCAGCTAAAGAGATGCTTCAGAAACTATAAGTTTCTGTGAAGCTGCTCCACGGTGAAGTTTTGTAGAGCAGAGCTCGTAGATCCGTCCTAAGACTGTCTCCAACGGCTCACGCAAAGAGTGACGCATATCTAAAATCGGTCATGCACAGTGTTTTTACCGGCTCCAACAGACGACGCAATTGGAGCATGCATTTTGGGGACGAGGTCGACCGGCAGGCATATTTGCGTCGTCCTTCTCCAAGACGCAAATCTTCCGCGGCAGCCACCGCCTTTGTCCTCTTCCCGTAGCTCCTCGCCCTCGCCAGGCTCAACTCCGGAGCCGGCGTGGGGGCCGCCACCGCCTTCGTCACAGACAGTGGTGGAGCCCGCGCCGCCGCCGTGGTGGTGGAGACCACGCCACCGCCGTGGGAGCCCCGCGCAGCGTAGGAGATCCGCACCGCCCGCCCAGCCGCGACGGCCCCCGCACTAGATCCACCGCGAGGGCGTGCGCCACCGATGCCTGGAGCCGCGTGGGAGATGGCCGCCACCGCCAGGCGCGCGCGGGCCCTCGCCGCCGGGCACGTGGCCGACAGCCGGGCGGGCACATCTCCAGCAGGGGCCGCGCGGGCGCATCTCTGCCGAGCCCTCGCCGCCACCGGCTCCTCCACCGGCGGGCGCATCTCCACCGAGAGAGGTGGACGGAGGGAGAGAGAGAGTGGAGGAAGAGAGAGAGTGGAGGGAGATGAGAACCGCCGCCGCCGCCGCCGCCTTCTTCTGAGAGAAAAGGGAGGAGGGCTGTTGGAGAAGGATGGATTTGGGTTGGGGACGCATTTACTGTGCATGCCCGATTTTTGGGTATAGGTCGCTGATTTAGTTATCGGTGGTCGGAGATAGTCTAAACATGCCCTTGATCACATAGGTACTAGTCAGGAGTCAGGGATATGTTCCCTTTCCATTGAGAACCGTATCGGCGGCACGAGAACGCCCAATTCCCAACTGGAACATTTGTATTTTGTATATACAGGCGCCGCCGTCGCCCAAGTGGAGGTGGTCACGCTCACGCGAACTGAAATGCAGTCCGGCTCCGCAGCGCCGCAACCAACGCCCAACTCACTCCCGCCGCTTCCAGTTCCCACCCAACCGGCGAAGGCGATGGCGACGCAGGCCGAGCTCGAGGCGGCCGTCGCCGCGCTCGCGGACAAGAAGCGCCGCCTCCGGGAGGCATTCGACCGCCTCGTCGCCTGCTCCCCGGTCCCCGTCCCCTTCCGCTGGGAGGACCTCGACGCGCACCTCGCCTCCATCGCCGCCAGCTTCGGCTTCCGCCACCTCGACTCCACCCACGCCGACGCCATCGCCGGTGCAGCAGCCGCAGCCGCTGACGCTAGGGGTCCAACCACCGCTGCTCACCACGTCCACCACCTGGACAAGGAGGGGCAGGACCGGGAACGACGCGTCTGGCGCGGCGCGTCGGAGGAGGGACAAGGTAGCAGCAATGCGGAGGAAGCGGAGGAAGTCTGGAACGCGTCGTCGCACCAGGAACGCGGGGAGGAGGATGGGAAGGTCCGGGAGGCATCCAGTGCGCGTCCCGACCGAGAAGCTAACGAAGCGGGGAGCATTCTCGGGGTGGAGACCGTGCCAATCGACGCGGCTCCAGAGCAACTAGACGACGAGAAGGACGAGGATGCCATGGGCGCACTCGTGGCGTCTCCCCACCAACGCGATGACGATATCGAGATGCTGGAGGAGGAGGAGGAGGAGGCCGTGAACGCGAACGCAGACAGAGAACGCCGCGAGGACGAGGCCGAGGAAGGGGAGTGGCTGCAGCATCCGCACGACGCAGGCGGCGGAGAGACGTCGGCTCTGACGCGAGCCGTCGCCGCGGCGTGCGCGAACATGGACCCCTCCGCGCTGGTGGACGCGCTGTGCCTCAGCGGCAGGAGCTCCCTCCGCTCGTTCCTCCCGGCGCTGCTTGGCGCCCCGGACCCCCACGCCCTCCTCGTCCGCGCCGTCGGCGGCTTCTTGGACTTGGCCTCAGCGGGGCCGGGGCGCGACGCGAGCGAGTGGTGGGCAAACTGCGTCGCGCTGATCGAGTGCGCGCCCCGCCTCGCGGCGCCGTCGGCGGACGCGCTGGCGCAGGCAAAGCGCCTGGCGGGGCACTGGAAGGAGATGGTGGTCGCGGGGCCTGCGGGTGCGGGTGGCAGGGACATCGGCGGGATGGCCGGATGGGGCCTTCTCACCTTCATTGTTTCTTACAACATTGTCCCGGAGTTCGATGCTGATGAGATCGTCCGTCTCTTCGACAATATCGCGCCCCAGGTGAAGGACAACTACGTTGAGCTCTGCAAGCGTCTTGGCCTCATCGGAAAGATGACTGGTACATGTTCCTCGACTTCGACTCTTAATGATGAATTTACTTGTCTCATATCTAAGGCGCTGTGTGCGCAGATGAACGTTCGTTCACCTGTACGTTGTAGTTTGTACACTGGTAGTTTACTTGTGATTCAGAAATCAGAATGCTCTGAATCGCATAGGCTTCACTTCAGGTGGATGCCAACCAATGCTCTCAAGCACTGTCTCCCAGCTAACCACACTTAAAAGTAAAGCACGAACCTTAGCATCCATTCTTTTCTGTCCTCTATCGTACTATGCGTCTATGGCTCTCTGCCCATGAGGGTTGAGGATAGGAGATCACCTGTAGGTATTGTACCCTTTTATACATATCCACAGATCCTGAATACAAACAAGAGAGGAGATAACAGAAGCCAGACAAGGTAATTACCGGGATCAATATATAACAGCTTAAACTTAAGTGTGGTGCCAATCTCTACTTGCTACAAGTTAGAACCGGATTGCAGTGGCACTGAGAAGCAAATTGCAGAATATTTTGATCTATTCCTTTTCCTGTTAGTATTATGCACTTCCTTTCCTTTTTAGTGAGAAATTCACATTTATTGATGCAGCCGCCAAATTGACATTTTAATCACTTAAGTAGCTGGGATTATTTATAACTAGATATGTGTCATATTGTTCAGTCATGGCGTCACCTAGATGATTTATGTCAGTCTACTACTTTGGTGGTTGCAAGTTGAATCTACCGTCTACATTAATGCAGGATGATTTTATGTCTGTCTGACAGAAATATGATGAGTTGCTGTTTTTTCTTCCATTGTTGTGTTTGCAGTTATTGCGTGTTGTGGAGCATCTTTTGAACCATTCGTAGTTTTACACTGCAGACCTCACTATCAGATTTTCTAATTCTAATTACAATAGTAGCTTGTGGAACTGGAAGGAAATCACTATCCCATTGGTTTACCAACTGTGTTGCTAATGTTTGGCTCATTCTTCTGCAGATTCAATCAACCATTTCATTGAAAATGGGCAGCCACTCGATGCTATAAGATTGGCACATACTTTCAGTTTGACTGACAAATATCCTCCACTTACCATCATGAATGATTATATTGAGAATGCCAAGAAGACTGCTGAAGACATACTAAGCAAGGAAAGCTATACACTGGAGTCTCTGGTCTGTTCTGTTTCTTGGAAAGGATGTCTTGTTATGCTAATCCAACTTAAATGAAATTGTCCATTTATCACATCTGTAGTCCTTTTTAGCTTTGAGAAGTCCTGGATTTGGAAAATAAAATACAGCGTGCTTTTCATGGTTTTCTGAAGCAAGTTTTTCACAATTCTTAAAGCAGTGCAGCTGAGGAACTAAGATAGGTTTGGATGTGCACACGCACCAATCTAGGTTTGGGCCCTGTTTGGGTCAGATATTGGCCTTTCTTCTTATAATGTAGTGAAATTATAGTACGTAGTGCTGCAATCCTACCCCTCCTGCTTTGAAAGTCGGCTTGCTCATTTTATGTTAAAAAAAATTAGAACCACTTCCTGGATAAATTGTTGCGTCCACATAATGACATATTGATATCGTACTTTCAACACTGATATAGACATATTACGCTTTCAACTGTTTTAACGCCTTTGAATCATCCGTTGAACAGAATCAAGCGATGGCAAAGAAGGTCGATGCTCTAATATTTTCGTGGAGCGCAATTGATGGGTGCGATATTGATTCTGTTCAGCGTAAAAGCATCAAGGAAGAAATTACCCAGTTGTTACACAAGTATGCAAACAAGCAGCAAAATCTAGCAGGTGTTTCAGCCTCCATTTCAAGTTCGCACCAGCACCAGAATTTTCAAGAGGAGTACCAGCAGCGGCCACAAATGCGACTGGTGGAACAGCAGAAGCAGCAGCGAAACCCACACGGGCTGCAGCCAAAACCAGGAGAGAAACAGCACCAGCAGCAGAAGCCACAAGAGACACAGCATCGGCACATTCAGAATCAACAAGAGCCGCCGGAGCGGGAAATGTGGCAAAACCGGAAAAGGAGAGGACAAAACAAAAAGCATCGCAAGAGGAAACAGCGCAGGCAGAAACTGCAGCAACAGAATAAACGCCCAAGGCTACCTCCATATGTCAGGCCAGGAATTAACAACAACCAGCATGAGGAACCATTTTCAGGAATTCGAAGAGCTCCGTTCGCAGCCTGTACCACTCCCATACCTCGATATTTTTGGTCCTGTGATGATCGTTCTCAGCATCACGTGCCAGTGTTCCGCCGTTGATGCCACAGTAGTACTCGGTGAAGTTACTGTTGTAGTAGTAAACTGATGGTCGAAAATAGAAGAGAGAGTTGTTCGGTGCTGACTGGTTTTGCTTAGCTTTCCATAAAAAAGCTTTAGTCCCCACAGTGACTTGTGTATATGCTATGCACAGTTTAGCTACCCTCGGTGTTACTGATACCTGAATCACAACCATCGACTTTATATGTTGGATATGGCTCTTCAAGTTTGTCTAGTAGTTATTCATGTATATTATTGCATTGACCGTAAAATGTTGCTTGTCACAATACCTGAAGAAGCATGATTGATCTTTCTGGCATAGAATAAACGTGTATAGAAAAAGCACTCTTCCTGCATTCGTTGTGAAATAAAAGGATTCATGCACGTTCATCTCGTGCAGGTATCTCGTGATGCTTTTGCTCTTTCAGTGATTTATGTTCATCGTGCAGGTATTTGTGAATGTCTTATGTAACTGAAAAGTAGGCTAATTCCTGTTACAGTGCATATGTTTCAGATTGCAAGCATTGCGGCACTTCGCTGAACATGTGTACGTGACCAGACTATAAAAGCTGCCCTATAAAGTTATTCAACAAATCGATGCAAGTGATTGGCAACTGCCCATACACCATGTTGCGAAAGAACTGTCATCACATAAAACAAATGAACACAAAACCACTTACAGAACGAACCAATACAGGGCTGTTTCATACAACTTCTATGCTTCACCATAGTTTCACTCAGCGATCGATGCAGAACGCCAGAACTTCTACACTATCTGGGATAGGACGGAGGATGAAGGGCAAAGGGATTAAATGGCAGACCCATATACTGAGGTGATCTGAATTGCGGTACAAATGGCATTCCTTGGCCTACAGGCCAACCTGGCTGGGCAGGGTAATTGTGAACCCCAGGCATAGCAGCGTAAGGTGGACGCACAAAGTTTTGGATCTGAGCAACATTCAGAACCAGAGGAACAGCAGGTGTCGGAAGCTTAAGAGTAGCTGGCCTTGGCGGTTGCATATGCTGCTGCTGCTGCTCTGTCACTTGCGCTTTATTTTCTTGTTGATGCAGTTGATGTTGCTTTCCTTGGATTAACTTGTTTTCATTCTGTGCCTGCTGCTGCTGGTTGACTGTGCCTCATGGTGCTCCAGCTCCTCTTTCTTGCGCTTCTTGTTCCTCTTTTTACGTTTCGTTGGCTGATGCTGTGAATCCCATGTTGAGGGCATTGAGGGATTTCCTGACCTTTGATTCTTTTTAGATGCACCAATCCTGCCAAGATAGCACTGCGTTGGCTAGAATCAGCGAGTTTATGCTGAGCTAGTTGATGTGCAATCCATATTTCCTTTGGTATAGCCAAGTTCTGCACATAGGCAAGATGCAAAACCATTCAGCTAACAAACAACAAATTTGAGTACCCACCACTTGGTGGGATGGAGTTTTATGACTCCACCCTGGATTGAAATCTAGACACCATATTCTATGTACACATGCGTGAGTACTTTCCCCATTTACCAGAGGTATATGGCTTTTCTAGGGGTGTGAATCAGATAGGTGGCACACTCATGTGCCATGCAAGTGCGCCAGTGCAGTATGTGTATGTGCTTTCTTCCTTCATTGTAAATGTGAAAAGGAAACAAAAGACAGAAACAAATATAGTTGACAAGAAAGCAGATTTATTTGATCAATATGCATTTATATCTACAACAGAACTTGTTCCAAAATCTGTAGCCAGGTAAAACCACAATGCTATGTAACTTAGAAGGGAAAATTGGCTATGTACCATTAAAAAATGTCAAGTTTAGCTATGTACCATTAAAAGATTTCTTCTTTGCTATGTAGCACCGAAAGATCACAAAGTTATTGGTTTCTACCACTTCCGTTAACTTCGCTAACGTTCCCGTTGTCTCTCCGTTCAAGTCATCTTCTTCGAAACATTTCCCTCTCCAAGTCATCTCCCTCTCCCTCGGACCCTGGACGTGGAGCGAGGCTGCCTTGCTGACGACCCAGCCCCACCTGCACCACTGCCACCCACGCCGGGCACGGAGCCCCACAACCTCTGATCCCTCTCTCTCTTCCTCTCCATCTCTCTCCTGCTTTTCCCCACCTGGAGCAGCACCGCCATCCATGATGGCCACTCGGCCTTGACCGACCGGCCTCGGTGTCCGCTCAAGGCCGCATGCGTCACGCAGCGCAAGCCGAGCGTGACCCGGGGCCACGTTGGCGTGCAGCTCGGCGGGCCGAGGTGGACGGTGCCGCGTGCTGCTTCCGGGACCTGCTCGCCTGCCGCGTGCTGCTTCCGGGACCTGCTCGCCTGCCGCGTGCTGCTGCGCTCAGACCAGTCGTTGTACGGCAACGGCTGCTCGGACCAGGCACCACGGCTGCTGCGCTCGTTCGCGCGTACGCCGCCAACATGACGGTCTTCGCAACCGACTTTGCCGCCGCCATGGTGAGGATGGGAAACTTGGGCCCGCCCGCAGGGAACGCCACCGATGTCGCCGAGGTCCGGCTCAACGTACTGCGCCACTCCCCTGCCGATTCGACTCTCCGGTGAGCACACACACCAGCGCACCCTCCTGACCTCTCAATCGCGTCCACCTGCTTAGCATTGGGGCTTTTCCCCGAGCGCCGCCGCTCGCCGCACCCGAGACGGGCCCCGCTGCCCTGGCAGCCTTCGCCGCCCGGGCTGGCAACGACGAGTGTCGGGCATGCCTGCGGCCCTCCCCATGCACACGTGTATGCCCCAAGTTCGACGCCATCCTCGCCGGCTGTTTTCCCGTGTTCGTCGTGAAAAGGCTTCGAAGAAGATGACTCGAGAAGTGGAGATACAACGGCAACGTTATTGAAGTTAACGGAAGTGGTAGAAACCAATAACTTTGGACCTTTCAGTGCTACATAGCAAAGAAGCAATCTTTTAATGGTACTTTGCTAAACTTGACATCTTTCAATGGTACGTAGCCAATTTTCCCAACTTAGAAAGTTATGATTAAGGATTTAAAGGTGATCGCTGAAACAACCCGGTTTCTATGTCCACCAGGATGTGCATCCTGGACATCCTGGCCTTCATCGTAGACGGAGGGAAACAGAGCTGTCATTGTCTCGATCCCCACCCAAACTCCCCCCCCCCCCACGTGCCGCATGCACAGCGCCTCCCTCCCTCACCATGGATCCTGCTCCCCCACCTCCTCCACTGCCCTCCACCGCACTAAGCACTCTGAGCACAATGCCCCTGCCTCCATGCCTTCCCAACCACTGTCCACCGCCGTCTCGCGATTCCCCCCACCGTACCGGTGACCTACCTGCAACCCCCAGCCATACCTCTACAGATGGAGGCCACCAAGATCCCCAATACCAAAACCTCATACCCCAACCTGAAACAATAACCCGCCAGAGTTATTGGAGATCACCGGACAATGAAAAGAGTGAGCTCAACACCCTGGAGGAGGTATGCATTCCCACCCTAAAAAATCTGTCAACAGATGAATAGCGGCCTCAAATTTCTCTCCGTCAGAACAAATCTTGACTTTACAGCGTAATGGCCTGGATGTCCAGGGTTCGCGCTACCCTGGGCACCATATAATTCCTGTCAGTAAAATACTTGATTTTAGAGTCACAAGGGGTAGTTCATACCAAGGACTTGTGTGTTTCATTCTTTCTAAATAGCTCCACAGAAGTCTGCTTGGCCTTCTCAATGTATCCCTTCAGAAGAGAAAATGGAGGATACTTGTCCTCCAAATTAAAAAAAATTGTAACAAATGAAAAACTTTGAGATGCTGCCCATTTCCAATCATATAGTCAATTAAATCTGCAGAAAAGATGAAGGCAAGAAGAAACATTAATAAGAAGGCGAACCCTTGCATTGCTAATGAGGTACAGGAATGGAGATGAGTGCCTACAGTTCTGTCAAAATCAAACTGAAAATATAAAGATAGAGGCCAATGTATTTAAGTCTAGCTGCTTATGAAAACAGTGAGAAAGTTCAAATAATGGCTAAGCAATAAACATACAAAAATGCATTACAGCTATAGATCAGACAATCAACTGATGTACATACTTAATATACTCAGCAAACTAGAGTTTGTATCCAAATTTACATGTATATCCTATGCAGCACGGATACGGATACGCGTATCGGTATCGGAAGGATACGGATACGCGGATACGGCAATTTCCAGAAAACACGATACGTGGATACGTTTTACAATTTTTTTAATAAATAAGTATAATGTAAATTAAAATTCTGAAAGTCTATAACTTGAGTAATCACTAATCAATTAATCATTAGTTCAATACTCTACATGCAATCATACGTGATATATACATCACCAGATTACCTTGTAGGTTTCTTGTTTTCACAGATGATCCAAGTCCAACCATACTGGATGAATCCCCAATTACTAAAATTCTAGAACATGAGAAGTCAGGAACAGAGAGCCCCCCTATCGTATGTTGTGGTTGTGGCCGGTGGCCACAGACCCGATGCTAGGACCCAAATTTGGAGAGGTCATCTACTGCATGCAAGCAATCAAGCATGGCCAATACTAATCAGGGCAAAACCAAGCAACAAGAACTGCAGCAGAGTAGATCCAGAATGGGGAAGGGGATGTACTCATGGGATGTCGCCAGGAGCTTGCTTTGTTGTTGAATCGTCCTCTCCCCTGCATCTCTCCCCTGCATTGCGGGAGCTGGCTGCGGCCATGGCGGACTGGTGGGTGCTCCCCAGTGCAGCAGTTTGGAGGAGGGGAGAAGTCAAATGATGGCTCAGATCTAAATTGGATTGGGGAGGGAGAGGAAATCACCTAAGCAGGGGGCACGAGGCAGGGTGCAGTCTCCGACCCGCCGTCGCAGGGGCTCGTTGGCGTTGCAGCCGGCCGGGCGCAGCTCTTCGTTGCCGTCGCAGGGGCTCGTTGCTGGAGGCGGGGTGCAGCTCTTCGTCGCCGTCGCGGGGGCTCCTTGTCGCCGGCGAGGGCGGAGGCTGGTCGCCGGTGGGCGGCGGACACGGGCGC